TTATTGAACAACAATGGTGGAAACAAGCACTTACCATCCTGTCCCCCGCTTATGGTGACCTTGGGGCAGGTAGTCTGAATTGTCTACTAATGCCTCTTTTTCTTAATTAGTCTACATCGATTACTTTATTCTAATAAATGTAACCCTTCTTGATCAAGAGAAAAACCTAAGTTCTTTTTTTAAACATATGTAAATAGGTTTTTGAAATGGTTTTAGATACGTGCATTTATTAGTTTTTCTCTATAATTCCTCAGCGCAAAGAATAAGAGTGTTTCCATTCATTTTGCACTATTTACGCCTTACTAAAATCCCGTTTCAAAATTCATCTGCAAAAGATTCTGGAAAATTAAATAGTTTGTTGGATTTTCTGCTGTTTGTTTTGCTTTTCTTTTAAACGGTCGAAATTAAGTGCAATATAACCAATCCTATGACAAGTGATCAGTAGTGATGAGATAGAGTTGAATACGCCTAGCTCTGTTAAATAGCCCCTAGGAAAGTAATTTAAGCTAAAATGGTCGTAAATCACCCTTCTCCATAGTAACACCACCATCTCCAAAACGTTTGTTCAAGCAGCTTTTTTGTGAGTTGAATACCTCGCTAATACGCCTCGGCTAAATGCCATACAATAAATTCAACGTGGAATGGGAAAGAGATTTTAAATGCAATTTGCGGCACCCTGTGATATGTGGGTTTAAAATAGGGTGGACTAACTGTGGATAACACGCTGAGATGCATTGCCGTACTGATGCTTCCATTGCTTCAGTCGCCTTTGTTGCGTCACCGTTAAGCAGCCTATTGGACACTTTAAAGAGATTTTAAAGAATTTGCGCATACCGTACTGCATCATCTCAAAACCTCCGGCTATCGATGATCCAATATGAGGGGGTTGTGCAAAGTTTGGAAAAAATGCCAATGGGTGAGGAGAAGGAGTAGACAGGCATTTGACGTGGCACGGTAAAGTGTTTAGGCAAACATGTGTAAGACACCACTTGGGAACTCATATCCAGTCCTGTTAAGACTAGCCATTGCAAACGAAGAAGTTGGCTTGTTCACCAAGATGAAAGAGATCATTTCGGTTTATTTCACAGGTGGGTGTACTAGACTAGTAAAGCAAAATAGTTTGACGCTGCAGTACATGTTTGTCATCCATTTACTGCGGGACTGGATGTTTTTGAATGCGATCCATTTACTTCCAGAGGTAAATGACATCCTAATCTCAAGTACATCGAAGATTGGGTATCACTCTTATAGATAATGATTTCCGTAAAGCCCGTTTTATGTGAATCTCACTTCTATAAAACTTGATAACCAGAGGCCAAGTCTTGGTTCCAACCACCGTCGTGACCTCTCTTTAATATTCACATTGCTTTTTGTATCTAATTATACTCCTGTAACATTGTGTGAAGGGCTACAATAGTATGTTAAAGAGGTGCGAATTAAATTTGTATGATTATGATAAGGAGGATGAAGCGAATGAGATTCGAAGTAAGGAAGAGACGGTATTTTCCTCCTTCTCGCCTTTCCGCTGGCGTGGTGCTGATTAATCTAACATATTACTTCTGCGCCATGATTCAAGATCTTGCACTATGTCGTTGTGTATTGACTCACCTTGTCATGTCCTTAGATAATTGAAGAGTACTTTCATTTGGTTGACTGAATAGCCCTATCACTTCTTGATGAGAAAGTTTTAAGCACTTCAGTTTGATTGGTATGTGCCGTGTTGGCCTCGGTCATGATTATTCCGTGGCTTTAAGCGCATAAAATATGTACTGCAAATATTTTCGTCTGACGTCTATCACACTTATAAGCATACCCCAAAAAACTTTGCATATTCTTTTTGAAATGAAGTGGTTGGTGCTCATAATAGTGGGTGACATGTAATGAGTGAATCGCCTAACAAGTACCACAGAGTAGGCAAGCCATCTTCTTCATCACATCTATGCTGACGAAAAATTAAAAAAATGCACTTAATGAGCGGAATAATGTTAAACCAGTGATATACTTTGAAGCCTAAAGCCGCCTTTTAATGCAAATCGACCATTTTGCTTTGTAGTTTCCACTACTTTTTCATTTGGCATAGATTGGAACCATTGTGCTGCCACTAACTCCAGGTGGTAAAGTCTATTTTGTTACAATAATCTCAATGCATCGTGTCAGTGGCAAGATACCATTTGTCTTTAAAGTTATTTCATTAGAATAAACCGCAAATACAGTTATGTCAGCCGACATTCATGTCAGAATTCGGACAGG